ATATATATATATATATATATATATATATATATTCATGCTCAGTGTTATTTTAAATAGGACAAGGACAAGCAAGACTTAGATAAGTAAAAAACTGTATTTCTAAATCAGTAAATCTGCAAATATTGTCTTAAATAAAGTCTGATGATGCAAGTTGTATAATTTGTGGCCCTTCGCATTTTATGTAGTTTAAATGCGGCCCACTTGGCCTCTGAACTTGAGTACCCCTGTTTTAAAGACTATAGAAGTATTAATGAAATTACATATAAAGACATACTTAAGTCCTATTTAATTGGTTAAAAAATACACTAAAGTTCAGATAATTGCATTTAATATAATTTTTAACTCTCAAAATAGCCCTCTCTGATTCCACAATAGAATCCAGAGTGTTATCTAGACTACAAGTAGCCTACCACATGATCAGTGTTTCTCTCTGTGGGCTTGTTATCTTAACTATGCTAACGTGTTGACATGTAACATAATCTTGAGTCTGAGCTCTGAGAGGAGACACGAGGGCCAAAAAGTTCTAGGATTCTCTGCCATATCACTTTCAAAACAATCCTGTGTGTTAATTACCATGGCAACATGTGCAAACCAATGGATACGCAGAACCAGGAAGTAGCTCTGCCCACAACTTCCTCGATGAAGCTTAATTTACAGTTCGGAAATCTGTTCCCAGCCCTGATAACAGACACACACACTTCAACACAACACAATCAGCTTTACACAAATACAAAAAGCTTTCAACACAAAGACGAATTCCCAAATTACACTTTCACAGACTCCATCTCATCCTTTTAAGTTGTATTTGAATCTACAGTACGTATAATATTCTGATGCAGAAAAGCTCTAATGCCCTTCTGTGGTCACCTGTTAAACTGCATAGCAACTCAAATTCAATCCAGTTCTACAATATCAGTTCATGATGTGACATGTAAAACACATGATGACATTCTGATCAACAATACGAAGACGGAGCGATATGGTGTGCTAAACTAATGGATGAATAAATTAAACACAATATATTATATCAGGGTGTCTGTAGGGCATGTGGCATTGCCAACCAGAACAGCTGATGTTACAGAAGCTCCAAAGATTTGAGGCATGCCACACAGCAAACCCCTCCCTGCACAGCTGCTCCGCGGTGTGATACAGACACAATACTTATGGGAGATTCTGCTGAGTAAGGTAAACCTTCTCACTGTCACTCACACACACATACTCCATTAACTTAGTGAAATTCACAGGGAGTTGTCTACATGCAACAAGTATATTTCTTGTTTCCCTTCAAAGGGAACACTGACCTCAATAAGTTCACCTGTAAAATGTGTTTATAAACTACATATAATTGAAAAGAGAAAAAATACTTGAAATGCAGATTGAGAGAATTTGAAATGATTTACAAAGCAGAAACTAAAAAGAGGTTCCACTTCCTTATTGATAAAATCACACCCTTGGTCATGTGTCTTCCTAAAAAATGAAAAGCACGATCCACATAGACGAAACAATTAATGATTTTTGCACTTTGCATCTTAGAAAACTGATTTCCTTTTTGTAAGAAAAACAGTTAAGAATAGGTAGACACAAGTGACAGAATATAGTTTATTCAGACCAACTACTGTACTGTAACGACTTCAACAAACTGCTTTGATCCAAACTTCACAGACAACCAAACACAGAAACTGAGAGTACTGAGTGTCACACAAACTGTGCCTCACCTGACCAACCTGCAAAAAGCAGGAATTACATGGTACTTTCCCTAAAGAAAAAATTATGTAATGAACAAGTTTTAAATCCATTTATGAGGGTTCTCATTCTCAGCTGTCTTTTAAACTGAAAGAGAGAGAAAGATTTACTTACCAGCGATTCTGTCTCGCTCCATAGCTGGATTATGGCTCCTAACAGCCACATGTGGTTTCTAGCGTTTCTCCTCCTCTCCCTTTATTTGCAGACTTCCCCTTTTGCTTTTTCCGAGTTTAGTCTCTCTCCCTCTCTCTCTGTTCTCTCACTTTGTTCTTTTTGTTTTTCCCTTTCTTTCTTTCTTTCTTTCTTTCTCTTCTCTCTTTTTCTTCCTCGATTTTGATTTTAAATTGTTTAGAGTGTTTCATTGACAAGTGTATCCAATGGATCTTCGGTGACATGTGCTGATCATATGCCTTTATTCGATCTTCTTTCGTTTTTCTTTTGACCTCTTTTGACACTGAAGCTCTGTTGTGTCTCCAAGATGTAGATAAGCCATGTGACTATCTGTAAACAGCCCCATGCCCTCACTTTGAATTAAAATGAGAGAAAACTTAAATCACTGTGTTTGATACAGCTGAATTTGAATTGCAATATTTCCTAAGTCCAGTAGATAGTGCTATACATTACAAGAATGAAAGTTACAATGTAAAATGAACTGTGTCCATATAGATTCTAGATGGCATGTATGAAATTATACTCACCCTCAGGACATCCAAGATGTAAATTTTCAGCTAATTAAATTTTTTAGGTGAACTATTTATTTAAAGCAGTGGCAGTCAGCACATAGTCTTCATGTCATAGTTCTTCATGTCAAAAGAAAATCATGATGATATATGACCTCTGACATAAACTTTACACATCTAAGGTCAAAGGTAGCATAGGACTTTGATTAGTGTATGTGAAAGACATCGGGATGACCTCCTCTCCATTTCCAAGAATAAAAAATGCCTTGGAGCACTCTACCACACTGATTATTATTCCTTCTGGGTCACTGATGACGCAGACAAAATAAGCCTATAATAATCAGGTTCTAGAAATAATTGGCTTTTTCAAAAAATATTGTATTTCTTTTGCTCAAACATGTTGTTTATGCAAATCATCTTACAGGGTATAAGACATGCCGCCAGTCTAAATATCAGTGATTCACTACTATTGAAGACACAATTAAAAATCATTCTTTTAAATAATACATAACATAAAACTAAGGTTTCAAAGTTGATTTAAACCAATCTAATCATATGTAAATCGTGAATCAATGAGGAAAAAAGCAGAGTGTGCCACTCAGGGGCGGCGTGTCCGTATGGCATAGTATGGCAGTCGCCATACCCTAGCCCAGTCTGGTGTGCCGTGGAAAATTATCCAAACTTCATATTTCTATTATATTTCGTTATCATTATTTTAAATTAGTATTATTGGTCTTCCCTATGTCTGTTTGAGGGTTTTACAAATATTTAACCCATGAAAAGCATTCAAAAGAGCTTGTCAGTAAAACATTGTAAAGCCACTGGAACCTCAAACTGTCAGTGAAACCTCACAACTTCACCCCGCCTCCATTCAGATTGACACGCCGCGCACAGTCTGGAAGACAGATCTCCGTTTGTTAGTGATGCAAGAGAAAATAACTGTTTGAATAAGTACATTGTTTTCTTTACTCAAACACTTTGACTGTAAAGGCTAATGTTTTTTGTGTGTTTGAAGAGCGGAGAAGAGTCTAAGCATTTGCCGTTTAGTTGTAGCCAATATACTTTTGCACGTTTTAAATATCCTGTGCATATAGCTCTTCATCTGTCACATCCTTGGACTTTTGTGTTGTGTTTTCATTCCCCATGTGCTCCGTGACCTAGTTTTCCTCAGTTGCCCTGATTAGTTCATTCTGTTCACCTGTCCTTGTTAATCGTCTCATTTGCTCATTTGTTTGCCTGTATTTATAAGCCTTCAGTTTCTGTCTACTCGTGGTCCGGTATTGTGAATGTTGCTCCTACGTGTGTCTCCTGCCTGTCTCCTGTGATTTACCTTTCTGTGGATTTATTAAAGACTTTATGAGTTTATCTTCATCTTCGTGTGTGTTTTTAGACCACGTTACGTAACAGAATACCGGACCTATACAGTTTTTTTGCTGCATTTTTGTTTCCCCCCCCACTTCCCTGTCACCATGGACAATCCTGCCGTTGCCCTGATATGCCTGGAGCAGAGGGACCTCTCCCTGGAGTCTCACACCAGGGATTTTTTGGAGTTGGCATGCCAAACACACTATCCAGACCGCTCGCTTTGCGTGTTTTACATCTCAAGCCTCAGCGAGCGGTCTAAGGCACGCCTCCCTGGGAGCAGTCCTCGGTACAACTTCGCCGCATGTGTGGAGTGGGTGCTGGAGAATAATGGTCTTTATTTCTCTGTCTGCCCCGTTAAAGAGGATATCTCCAGCCCCACTCCAGAAGCAGTGACCAGCCAGCCGTCATCCCGCTGCACGGAGCAATCGCCTGAGCCCACCGCAGATGGAGAGCCTGAGCCTGCCGCGACACGTGAGCCAGCGCGCATACCCACGACTGAGCCGATCATCGCCCCGGAGCCCGAGCTTGACGGCGTGACTGTCCAGGTGTGTGAGCCGGCATCGCCACGTTTAGCTGTGGGAGTCCTTGTGGAGATCGAGGGCTTGGAGGGAAGCCCCGCCCACACTCCCGCCACTGAGGGTGAGCTGAAGTTGGCCTCTGGACAATATTATGAGGAATTAATGGACTGTTTTAATGAAGAAGACTTCATAGACTGGTTTGGGGAGGTAATACCCAGTGTTCCTGAGTCTCCTATGTCTCCTGTGTCTCCGTTGGTTCCGTCCAGCCCTGAATCTCCTGTGTCTCCGCTGGTTCTGCCAAGCTCCTGTTCTCCTGTGTTCCCTTCCAGCCTCCCTCTCCCGCCTCTTATACCAGTCAGTTCCTCAGCCCTATCTCCGCTGGTGCCTGTCAGTCCCTCAGCTCACCCTCAGTCAGCGTCATCTGGGAGCTCTGATCCGCCTCAGGACTTCCAGTCTCCAGCTCTGCCTAGGCGTAATGATCCCCTGTCTTCGCCTTCAGTCTCCGAGTCCTGGACTCCACCTCGGTCCTTCAACCCATCGGCTCCGCCGTGTTTTTAGAGCATGTTACGTAACATCATCGGTTATATCGTGAGATTTTGGCCAAGTGTTATTAAACAAGAAAAACTAAGCGCCCATGTAGCTACAATAAACATTTTAACCTGTAAGTTTATGAAAGCAGTTCATAAAGTTCATAAAGTTACAGTAGCAACCAAGACATTCCCTATCTCTCAGTCACTCAACTTTGTGTCAATGTAGTGACATTAGGGAACCCTTTACTAAACGCCACAGCCAGCTGAACCATGTTATGAGGTTTGGTAGTGCAGATGCAGGCAAGCTGTTGCATGCCTAATAACAAGTGCACTCAGGCCACGTTGTACCCTTCCCAATGCCCCAATTAAGTTGCCGTAGCCCACTATATTGTGAGGGGAGGGTAAGGATCATACTTACAATGGGAATAGATCACTTCAGCTGATTCTTGACCTTTTTCTCTTAACAATAAAAACTTACAGCTGTGCAGACCCAAAGTTTGCGCTGGAGAAGTATTCTTTTCCCTGTGTTGGAGAGAAGAAAACTGTGGAAACCACATCCTGCTTGAAGGTTAACATGCAGAAAACACTTCACATGTACTTACCAACCAGGAAGTACCACATATAGAAAGAGGTCTCTGTGGTAGTACCTGCCTGAGAATGGAGGACTGCTAAAGCCATATAGAATGGTAGCTAAAAATTGGAAAATACATCATTACCACTAGAGAAATGTGGAGCACTTAACCCAAAAATAAGGGTTTACCTGAAAGGGGGCATATCACAGGTTATGCCCGTCTTCTTGCAGTAGTGAACTGCAGTAGTGAAATAGTGAATTCCTCTGCTGAATTAAACTACTGATGAGTGCTGGAGCGCAAGAGAGTATCTAGGGTTACGGGACACTAGAAACTCACCTGGATAATAAGAGCACAGTTATCACCTCAGAGAGGGGAAAGGCACAGTTTGCAAGGTATACACCCAGCCAGTTGCCCAAAGTTTTACCTGTTCATGCCTACCAACACTCAGGACAAAACTAGTTCAACCCAGAGATTATAGAATCTCACAAAAGTGTTGGGTGTAGCCCAGTCCGCCACTCTCCACATGTCTGTTAGAGAGGTGCTGTTCGTTAGTGAACAGGAGAAAACAACACCCCTAGTATACACTTTCAAGGTGGAGGGTATAACCGCCTCTTCAACCTTTCCTGCAGGAAAAAATGCCACTTGAAAGTAGGCAGCTGCCTCACAGAGGGGGCTCTGGCTTGAGTGATAGTGTCTATTACCACTGGTGATAGCCCATTGAGGTCTTTCACATGCCACCCAGGAGTCAGACGTGGAGGTTCCAGGGGTCTGGACATGGATGCCAAATCATGCCCTGCCTCTGAGAAAGAATGTCTTTCCTGCTTTTCTTCTGGAGGATTCACTAAGGAGGGGCTGTCACGAGGAATGAGAGTTACTTGCATACTTGCACTGGCCCAGGTGCCAGTTATGTGCCAGAGCATCTATGCCGAGTGGAGCCTCGGTCAAGGAATACCACAAGGGAGGATTTCTCGTAAGCAAACTAACTACCTGCACCTTGCCGAATCAACCCCAAATCAGTTGGACCACTTGGGGATGGAGTCGCGCAAACTGAATCACTTGTCACAAAAGCACATTGGCTGTGCGATTGAGGTCACCTGGAATATGAGTGGCACACAGTGACTTCAGTCGCTGCTGACTCCAAAGGAGGAGATGGTGGGCGATTTGTGACCTGTGACAAGAACGGGTACTGCCCTAGTGATTTATGTACGCCACCGTTTCTGTGTTGTCTGTCCAAACCAACACATGCTTGTCCTGAATCAATGATCGAAACCTCTGCAGGGCCAGCAGTCCAGCCAGCAACTCTAGGCTGTTGATATGCCAATGCAAACAGGGCCCTGTCCAGGGTCCGAGGGCTGCATGCCTGTTGCATACAATGACCCAGACTATACTGTACACATCTGTTGTGACAACAACATGCCTCAACACTTATTCTAAGGGAACTCGCGCCCGTAGAAACACAAGGTCTGTCCAACACCTAACAGTCTAGCGACAGATCAGTGTGATAACTACGCATGCTGAAGCAGTCTCATATGCATCAACCCAAGTGGGGTAACTGGATAAAGGTCACCATATGATCCCCCAGCCCATGACCCTCTGAAATTGCTTCAGTTGAACCACGATTCTTCTCAGTAATCGGCCACTCTTATGATTGGCTAACATCATTGCATAAGAAACACTATCAACGCCCCCTCGCTATTGTATGTCTTGAGTGTTTTGACAACATAATCAAAATAAAACGGTCATTTCCAGACAAAGCAATATGAAATCATTAATTTACTGTTGATGCAGCTGCAGTCAGATCTACATTTA